TGCGCCCGCCGCTGCGCGTCGAGTGACGGGCCCGCGGGCGTGCGCGGCCGCGACGGCGGCGTCCGGACGCCGTGGGCGTGGGCCATGGACTGCTTCTTCCCCTGGCCGCTCCCGAACATGACGTCCGGCGTCCGCGCGCGGCCCGACGTGGCCGCGGACGACGCGCCGTCGGTCCGGCCCGACGCGGGCGTCGCCGCTCGGCTCGACGGCGCCGCGGACCCCGGCGGCGTCGGCGGCGGCGGTCGGTCCCAGGATGTCGTTTCCGTGTTGTGGTCGATGTAGTAGGTGCGGCCCTGCTCCGTGCGCTTCTCCTCCCAGCCGTTCGGGAGCGGCGGCGCGCCGTCGTCGCGGTGACTGTCGACGGCGACCTCGACGAAGCCCTCGCCGGGGACGAACTTCTTCGCCGTCAGCTGCTCCGGCGCGACGTGGCGCACGTGCTTCATCTTGTCCGGCGTCGCCGCGCGCTTCAGGTGGCCCGCGCCGTGGAACGCGCCCGCGCGCCGCGGGCCGTCGCGCCGCGCGGCCGCCTCGGGCGTGCCGCCGCGGCCGTGGCCCTCCTTCTCCTCCTCGGCGGCGGCGGACCAGGCGCCGGGCTTCGCGAGGGGCGCCTTTGCCTTCTTCTGTCGCCCCTCGCGCGACGCGGTCCGCGCGAGCTCGCGGTAGATCGCCGCGGCCGTGCTCGGGTCCTCGCTCAGCTCGCGCGGGAGGGTCACGTGCTCCTTCTCGTGCCAGCGGTGGGACACGGGCACGAGCCCCGGGTACGTCGCCTTCCAGCGCGACGACCGCAGCGGCCGGAGCTTCGCGTGGTTGCCCTTGTGCTTGTGGCGCGCCTTGAGGAAATTCTCGAAGCGCATGATGGACCTGGGCAGCAAAAGGGTGATTCAACGTCGCTTCAACGTGAGTGTGTCGCGCGCGCGCGTTCCGGGAAAAGCATTCACGCTTCGAGACCGCTCCGAGAGATGATCGCTCGTCCAAAAATCAGCCGAAACGAGTGGAAAACGGCCGAGATATGAGCCTTTGAAGTTGGGAAATTCGCTCTCTTGTCCTGCCCTGTGATGGACCCCCAGGGCTCCGCGTCGGCGCTGTCCTGGCGGAAGTGGTTCGGCACGACGTTCTTGCGCTTCGGCGGGATGGCGAAGCGCACGCGCGCCTTGGCCATCTCCATGATGTGGACGCGGTCCTCCTTCGACTCCTTCAGCGCCGCCTCCACGAAGGGCCTCAGCTTCGCGACGCCGAGCGCGACCTTGGGGCAGGGCTCGACGATGAGGTCGCAGCGCAGGGCCCGGTCCGCCATCACGAGATGCGCCGGCGCGGCGCCCTCCGGCGGGCCGTCGAAGTACGTGAGGATCGGCCGCCAGTCCGCGCAGACGCGCTCGTCGACGGAGAGCCGCACGCGGTCGATGGGCGCGCCGCTCAGGGGCGCCTCCAGGGCCGCGAGCCGCTCGAGGACGTCGCGCACCGTCGTCGTCCGGTCGACGCCGTCGAGCTCGACGACGCGGCCGGGCCAGAGCGCGACGCGCAGCACCGCCGGCGACGGCGTGCGCTCCACGGGGCCGGGCACCGTCTGCCACATGCGCACGTCCCGGCAGTCCATGACCGGCGTCTTCTGGAGGTACCATTTGTCCAGGCCCGGGAACTCGGACATGGCGGCTGCCGAGCGGCGCCGGGGCCCGGGCGGGGCGACCCCAGACGCTGTGTTGTGAGAGCACCAAAGGAGTTGGTGAAGATACCGTGCCTTCAGCCCAAGAATCGGTGACCGTCTTCCGATTCGCGGCCGAATCGGGCCCGGGAGGCTCCCGGGGCCCGCGCGCGGCTCGCCGCACACCGGCGTCGGGCGCCGCTGTAAACGCGAACACCGCGCGGCCGCGGGGTCGAGCGCACGATTAACGCGAATCGCGGCGTCGGGCCCGGAGGCTGTGCTTCGTTCGAAGGGGGGGGGGGGGAGAGGGTGCAACACGGAAGAACGAGGACGACGGGGGGCTCGCGCTCGCGCGCGGTCAGCCCACCGGGGTGGGGGCGGGCGGGGCGGGCAACGGCGCGTCGGGCTCGCGCGGCTCGAG